AATAAACACTTTTGATCATGAAGTGAGTTCACGAGCTAAGAGCTTTTTAAAAGAGATCTCATAATACAAAAAGTTTAACAATTAAAGAAAAACATTATTTAGATTTTAGGAAAATAGAATAATAATTTGTTTTAAATATTGGTAGGTTTCCACCTACATTGAACTTTCAGTATTATAAAGATACAATAACAATAAACACTATAATTAGACCAAAAGCAAGGTAAGCTCAAAATCACAGATGGATAATAAAATATCTTGGAATATGTTTTCCACAATTTTTATTGACCCAATATATTCAAATTAATCGACATATTACCCCATAATGAAAAAGATTCTCTTAAAATGTTTGATCGTCCATTTTCTTCATTTTAAATACAAATATTCTCCAAAGTTTGTCTGTCTACATGTTCTGACATCCACTCTTTAGAGGTAGCTCACTCTCTTATTAATAATAAATGTAATTACCATGAACTAACAACTTAACCCCAACCTGGAGCATCATTAAAGTACATGATGTTTGAAATACATTCAAGAGGAATAGTGATAATGAAATCAAAAAGGTCACACACATGGTTCGCAGTGTGGGAGAGTAAGACGTAGATATTCTAACTGCATCTTTGTGATTTCATTTATTAAAACTTGAGTCTCACCAAAGCTGAGCTGTCGACTCTCACAGAACTCAGAGTATTGAGCCTGGTCCATCATTCGAGTCTGACGCTCTAATCGCTGAAGAGACAGTCACAACAAACATCAATACTAACTATAATAATCATCAACACCATCAATCTGAATAAGACTTTCATTCATTCTGCTTTCAAATCAGAGCAGCTAGTCGACATAGTGATGACCTCTGACCTCCATCCGCTCCTGTTTGACGGGGTCTACTTCCTGTCGCTCTGCCAATGACAGGAGGTCACCGGTTTGATCCATCCACACCAAGAAATCCTGGGCCAATCGCTGCCTCCGCTGGTTACCACCGACAACACCACCGGCAACACCACCTGCACCTGCAGGTCCAAAGACACAAGAAAAATAATAAGTCTGATATTTGCTTTTGTTTGACCTGGTATACAATTAAATCTGTGTGTGGGTGTTTACATATACTTGTTTCTTGCAATGGATCTTCATCCTCCAGGCCTTTTAGTAGTTTAGATTTATAATCTCTGAACTGGAGATATTTTAATATCCTCCCAACCTTTCTCTGGTCGAGAGACATCAAAGCAGACAGAAAAACAGAGCGTTACAAAAAAAGAGAGAGAGAGACAAAAAGAGAGAGAGAGTGAGTCTCGGGTAAAGTTAACATTTTTCCTTTATCTTATAGTTTTACATTTTAATCGTTTAGTTTTGTGTTTACCTTATCCCTCCTCATCACAAACAGGATGTCCTCAGCTGAGATGACTCTTGAGCCACGAAGAGCTGCACCCTCACAGGCCTGATGAAGCTAATAAACCAATAACACTGAATCAAACCACTGAACATCATTTACAGCAGTCTGAATAGAATATAAGAGCTTTAAGAAATAGTGGCTGTTCAGAGTCACGTCAGAAATGTATTGCCTTCATACCTCTGAGAATAAGTTTGTGTCATTTAAGTCACCACAAAGACGGAAATACACATCTTTATGTTAGTAATTCAACAAAAAAATCACACAGAGACATTATGTTGAATGTTTGGATTTTAATTTAAACCAATTTACGTATGAACATGGACAGGAGGCAGAGCTATCAGTTTTGGTTTTAACTGTTTTGTCATGTTGATACTCGACTAAATATTCTTACGTTTCGATTCATGCTGCAGAAAATATGTTAAAAGACCTGAAGGTTTAAGAACAAATCCATGACTCTGAAATGAATTGACCTTTAGGCATAATTATAAAGAAATACAATTTAGTGTTACCTAAATTAAGAAACTGTTACATTTCTGCTGATTCAAGCTCATTCAAACTATAAATTAACATGAAAACTGATCATTTCTTCTGTTATCTTTTAGCATTTATTCAGCATGGAGAGTGATGGAAAAGACTTGTTCACATTTTATTAAAGGTAAGGATTATTTTCCTAGCTCTATATCTTGTAATTAAATCTGAGTCTGAGGGAAGAGGGAACACAGGTTGTTAAAATTCAGGTTTTTTTTTTCAGTTTTAATGGGATATTTGAATTTGTAAATTTGCAAATTGAGTTTATATAGGGCTTTTCTAGTCTTCCAACTACTCAAAGAGCTTTTACACTGCATGTCACACCCACCCATTGTAGGTACTGATGGTAGTGATGTATATATCATCCATTAGAAGTAAATAATCCCATTCATACACCGCCTTAGCAGCAAGAGCAATTCAGGGTTAAGCGTGTTGCCCAAGGACACATCGGACATGTTGCCCAGCAGGGGATCGAACCCTCAGCCTACCGGTTAAGAGACGACGACTCTACCAACTAAGCCACAGCCACAGCCGCCTCTTTGTAGTTATCATTAAATACTCTACTTCTAGACCTGGTGGGTGTTAGTGAACAAGTTACCATAGTAATGAGCTGTGTGTGCACAATGTCCTCCACCAGAGCTGCTGTCTCATGCAGAGGCCTGCGAGCGTCTCCCAGAGCAAACCTAACACACACAAAAACACACATTAGTATGCCACATATGTATCAGAGCCATATTGACCCAAGCAGAGTTTTGAGGTGCTCATTTCTGTTTTATTAGATCTGCATCTCATCTTTGGTAAGAAAGCAACATATGGCTCGAGACACCCTTAGGTGTCATCGACACCCTCTCTTTGGTGAGTTTGAGCTTCTGCCCTCTGGCAGAAGAAAAACATCACCAAAGGCAAAGTCCAGGCATTTTCCAATTCAATTCTGATGACTGATAAAGGTTTTCATTTAGGTTTAAATGACAGTTTTACAAACTCTCGGTATCCTTTTGTCACTTCATATTCTCTTGTATTCACGTATTTAAAGTTTAATATTGTTTTGAATGTCCATGTCAACATGCCTGTGTTTTAATGTTGTTGTTATTTTCAATTTCCCGTCAGGGACAATAAATGTAAAGAAGTTTAAGTCAGTCATACAGTTAGACTGTAAGTGTTAATGATCATTATAAGTAATTATTGCTTGATAACATATTAATTCTGAAAATCTGTGCCTTTATTTTGGAGGGACCTTCTTCCTTACTGGCTGGGATTATTTTTCAGCACCCTTCAAAAGACCACAAACTGTACAACACACACACACACACACACACACACACACACACACACACACACACACACACACACACACACACACACACACACACACACACACACACACACACACACACACACACACACACACACACACACACACACACACACGTTGAGGTCAACAGGCCACACACACACACTTTTGGTCAAACCTCAATTTGCATCCAGAGAAGCCACTTCCACGATTGTAGACTACACCACATCCCGAAGCTCGTTCCTTTTCTCGTTTCTCTTTTTTAACCTCCATCTCTCCATCTATTCTTTCTCTAGACAAACCCCCTCCCCAACCCCCCATTCCCCTATGAAATGTGATTGGCTGGTTGCAGACGTCAATCACACAGGTGAGCTGGGCTTTGGTTGGGAGGCTTGTGGGCAGGTTGGCTTCAGACTGAATGTTGGTTTTAGGTTTTGGGGTTTAGTTGGGTTTCAGCCTCTCTGACCACCAACACAAACGCTCTGCAGCGCACACACAACAAAGGTGAGTACCCCAAAACACACACACACACACACACACACACACACACACACACACACACACACACACCTCACTCATCACTCAAACTACTAAAAGCACAGCAAATGCATGGCTTCTTAAACAACAATTAATAATGTTAGTCGTACATCTATTATCATTAATGCAATTATTAAATTGAATCTGAGAGCTGCTCAAATTCAACCTCTATCATCAACATAATCAGTCCTCCCTGTTTCATCATCATTACAGTCGCTAATGTTCATATTAGACTGATCAGTCTATATCAGTTAAGTTGGTTAAAGCTACTAAAACTATATTTTTATCCATGAAAAAATAGCTTTGATACTACACACACACTGACATAGCTACAAATCTATCTTGTTAGTTGTTGTTGCTCAGTTGGTCTCTATCCTTCTCCTTCTTCCTGCATCTCCCTCTATCCCACTTTCCAAGAACAACACAATTCCATCAGATGTCTGTTAAACACGAGAGTGGTTTTGCTCGAGGTTTCTGCCTCTTAAAGGACGTTTTTCATTCTCACTGTAACTTTGCAAATTGTTGTAGAAGGAAACTCTTGCGCTTCAGCCACTCCACAAATGGAAGTCGGTGCTCTTAGAAACGGACTGAAGAATTACAAAAGATAGAATTCAGTGGATACCTTCTTACAGACAGGATCCAAAGAAATTACTGGAGCAAACGTATCACTTCAGGAAAATGTAAGAAAGGTGCAAAGGACTAACGTTTTGATACACTGCGTTTTCAAAAAAGTCAAACCCAAGGTATCCACTGAATTATATCTTTTGTACGTTTGTTAAGTGTGGTTTATGATGGATTCATCTTGGGTCTTTGTAGATAATATAACATTGAATAAGCTCTTTTACCTGCTATTTTGTAGAGTGCCTTGAGATAACATTTTTTTATGAATGAATCATGAATAAGAAGAATAAACAAAGTGTAACCACAGGCTCAGTATGAATGTAATATAAATACATATCCAAACAAGATTTCAGTCATTTCAGTATTTTAGTTCCACCCGTGTTTGTTCCTTTTTTTTACCTTTTGTCATTGTATAAACTTAACAAAGATTGAATTCTTGTTCCAGCAAACATACATTGTAGTTTTTTGAACAATAAACTGTTTTCATAGTCACCTTTTCTGCACATCATGGCAGCAACTAAGAATTACTTTTAGGATGAAATAATACATCGTCAACCTGGCAGTTTGGTTTTTGCAAAAAAAATCATTAGCCAAAACATTTCCAAGTATAATTATTCATTTGTTTAACAGGTTTTTATGGCTTCAAACAGTCTGTTCAGCAGCACCAGCCCAATGCTGTACTGGGGTGAGTCACCTTATTTTGTGCGTGTGTGTGCGTCTGTGCGTGCGTCTGTGTGTGTGTGTGTGTGCACGTGTCTCACATCATGCTCTGTAGCTCTGGAATGAAACTGGTCCTGGAAACTGGACGGTCTTTAGAACTGGAGGCGGCGCAGCCAGCCATGGGACTGCTCATACAACAACACACACCTGAGCAAACAAAGAAGCGATGCAGCGTTAAACTAGTAAATAACAATTAATAGAGAAGTAGATTAGATTGTCAGTAGGACTTAGAATTAGATACTAAATAACAGGTAATGGAAGACGTGTCAGGGACGTGCATTATGTTAATATGTTGCTGCTGTGCAAAGTTTTGATGTAGAAGTGCATGTAAGGGTATCCCTGCAGCACTACTTCATCTTCACCTTTAGAAAGCTTGTACCTGCACTTGAGATTTATTTAATTCATTGTGCAGACTGCTGGTTGTAAGAAGTGCATTGAACTGATCCGTCTACAGAATGGACAACATTATAACCTTTATTGCAAAGACTGCATCAGTTTATCTATTTGTATCGGTCAATAATAAACACTGAATCATTGACTGATCTAAATATACTGTCATGCACACTCACACTAAATCACTTAACCAAAACAAGTCAGCTACTCAGTTCAGAATAGATGCTGAGCCAAGAAACCTAAAATAACAAGGTAGCAGAACAGATTGAAGGCAAATCGAGACCAGCAAACACAAAGACAAAGGGGACAGGTGGTGTGACCGCAGTAACTTCCCCTCCGGCAGTAAAATCTGAATGATAATACAGCGCAGCTCCCTCCTATTCAAACTCTGAGGTTAGTTTAAAACAATGCTGAAAAGAGCAGAAAAACAAACAAAAAAAAAGACAGGAGGAAGGGAGAGGAGGAACAGAGAGACGGAGGTGGCTCCTAAAAATATTTTTAAAAAAGGACCCACTACGCACCAAAATCATTTAAGGTGAAACCTTGCAGCTGGCTTGCCGTGTGTTTTTCGTGTTGTTGTTATGTTCGACGCGGTTTGATGACGTAAGGAGTGTTTGGGTTTTGGGGGGTGCGTTCCAGTTCATCTCGTAAGTGGGGAATTCCTAGTTCCCAGTCGGAAGTGTCAACTGGGACGCCCCCCTGAAGTCGTCATTACGACTCAGAAACTGGGAGAGAGAAAAAAAAAAAAGTAAGCCCGAGTTCAGATCCGATGTGGCTGCTACGTGCATCGAAAGGGATGTTTAAGATGTAACTGTTGAGTTTATCAGCAGCTTAGTCGTCTTTTTGTGTAATTGAATCAATCAGACCGATGGAAGTTCTCTCTGTGGAGGTGTTTTCATGTGACTTTCGGTCAGAAACGATCACATAGTGTGTTGTTTTCGTCTGGTATTGGCTGACAAAACAAAGGTACTCCTGGACTCCGTTGCTTTTCCGATTTGCAACTGGGACGCAGTTTACTTGGGTGTGACGTCATTCCCATTCCAAGTGAGCTGCTGAGCCAAGAACCTAAAATCATTTTGATTTCTGATTAAGCCCATGCTTAAATAAAAAAAAAACATTCCCATTTAATAAGTTGGAAGAAGGACATTTTGACTTTAATTACTTGAATAGCCTATAATGTAAACAGATTGATATCAAAATAATTGTCAAACTATTTATAATTAAGAACACAAGCATTGATCATTGATTAGTATTCAGTCATCAGGGCTGCTTGAGCCTAAAAGTGTTTTTTTCTTTCTTTTTATCATTTCTTGGTTACAAACAATAGCATGTCACATTTTTAACTGATCTGATATGAAACAAAATAAAGTCTTGTACGGCTGAGAGTTCAGAGAGACCAAAAAAAAAACATATTTCTCTTTTTCTGGTCCCTCTCAGAGCCTGTGCTGAAGAAGAGGCCGACACCATCACCCACCGACTGCCAACTAGATGAGCAGGAAGTGAGATGTGTTCACCAGCGCAGCACAGCGCCGCACAGAGGCCTGGTACAGACTGACAGCCCAAACTTTCTCTGCAGCAGCCTGCCACATCACTGGAGGTGTAATAAAACCCTGCCCAGAGCCTTCACTGTGAGAAACTAATTAACTTTCTCTCTGTCAAGTGAAATCAAGACTGGCTTTATGTCATAATGTCAAAAATCATAACATTTCATTAGGATATTTCCCCCTGAGTTTTGTCTTCCAGTTTGACCATTTTCTGAAACTCAGTCCACATTCTTTGACTTGGTTAGAGGACCAGTATTCACCGTTTTCAATTCTACAGGTGGTTGCCCTTGGCAGTGACATACCAGATGGTGTGGTTGTCACTGTGATGGCTGGCAATGAATACAACAGCAGCGCTGAGCTCCGCAATGCCACAGCAACCATGAAACAAGGCTACGCCCACTTCAATGACCTTCGCTTCATAGGTCGCAGTGGGAGAGGTAGATATACAAAACCTTAACTGATACACTGTGAGATCCTATTCAATGAGTCATACTTCTTGTACCACTAGTTTCAAACCTTCATGTTACTCTAGTTAAAGCTATGAATATCACCCAAAATAGCCCATTTGATCCAACTACCCCGAAAAAGCTTTTGATTTGTCTTTAACAGTCAGTTAAACCTGATTTGATTATCCTGATGTATCTGTAAATATGAATACTGTCACCTCAAATCTCCTACATTTTGTTTATCAATATCTGTTCTTTGTCTTCCAGGCAAGAGTTTCACGATTTCCATCAATGTGCTGACCTCACCTCCTCAGATAGCCACCTTACACAGAGCCATCAAAGTGACTGTGGATGGACAGCGGCTGCCAAGAAGTAAGTACACACCAGAGAGTATAATGTGAGGGGATTTGATCAAGGCTTTCAGTCAGAGGTACATACTTCTTCTTCTCTCTCTCTCTCTCTCTCTCTCTCTCTCTCTCAGGACAGAGGCAGAAGGAGCTGGGGTCAGGGGCGTACAGATCATCCAGCAGCAGCAACACTTCATCATCAGGTATGAGAGCAGGGATATGTTTAATTTGTATTATTTTAATATATTTTCGTGCTCATGGGGGGGAAGTTATTTTGTTAGATGAGTCTTTCAGATGCTTTTGTGACCAAGATGATGTCTTTTCTCTTCAGATTGTAGGTCCTTTTCCTCCTCTCTGTGGACCCATGAACCGTCCTTCATGGGTCAGGTGACCTCTCTGCCATCTACCTTTTCTCCAAGACCCAGAATGCATCACCTGCCTGTTCTCTCCTACCCGAACCAGCCCACACCATACAGCTCCTACTTGTCTTCTCCTCCCCCCCCTCCTCTGAGCCACAGTGGTCCGTTTCCACAGGGCACTTTCTACTACGGGCCGACGCACACGCACCAAACACCAGGGGAGGACCGCAGCGTTGTCACAGCATTGTCCAATTACATTGAAGGGGCGTGTCTCTCCATGAGAGGGGAGGAGCCTGTCTGGAGGCCGTATTGATGATTGAAGGTGTTGTATTGAATTCAAATCTTTGCTTTGTTGCAAGCCCTCTGAAACCTACAAAATATATATCTAACATTGACCTCATTGTTTGTCAGCAACTTTAACTTCTGTTGTTAAGTGAGTTTGTTTTTATTTATTACTTTTATTTATTATTTGTAACTATTATTTAGTAAATATTTGCAAACAAATAAAAAGATGCATTAAAGTATGTTTTTACAGTTTCCCTTTATTGTTTACCTTCTCCAGAAATTGATAAGTCAATTTATACTTTTATTACAATAGTTTATTACAGTTTTATATAATTAAAATAAATCTGCATTTATTTCACAACTGGAGTACAAAAAATATGACATCTCTAACAAGGAAACAATTCACCCAGTATAAACATCCTGAGTATTCAAACAGCCTCTGAAAACTTTAAAAGGTAATCAATCAACAATTTATGATAACAAGAGTTATTGGATATATCTTTTTCTGTTTTAAGATAAACTAACTTTTGAATTATAAATACCTTAAATAATAATACAAATTGAACTTTCTAATAACTATTAAACATCATATATAGGCAGAAAGAACAGAGACCTGACAAAACTGAAGCAATCTTTGGATATGTAAAAAGAATCTGCCTCACTAGCTGATCAATGAAATCATACAGATATGTGAAATGAATTAAAGCGACAGTTTGGTAAAAAAATGTAAATTCACATTGAAACAGCTCAATAATTCAAAGAAAAACTGTAATGTGAAGGCACGATACATATCTGATGCTATGAGCCTCTTATGAGGAATGTAGGCTGCACGGCTGCTGTCTGCCCCAATTTAAGACCCCAATAGTGTGTAAATGTTTTTATAGAGAATAAAAATAATGTATCATTGTCCCATTAAATCTTTTCAGAGTCGACCATCCACCTGTAAAGCATTGAGTTCAGCCACTGTCCTGGTCCACTCTTCCTCTGTCATTTCTTCTTCAACTCCCTCATTTTCATCTTCCTCTACCTGATGCGCTCCTGAAATAAACACATGATCACATTACGAGGATTGAAAAATAAAGCTACACGTTCATACAGAGGGGAAAGACATTATCAAGATGGATAACATTTCTTTAGTGTTTCGTCACCTGTGCAGGTCAGAGCAGTGCAGACCCAATTTCCACACGCACACACACACTTGTTGCACTCCATCCGAGTTTCAGCTCCATCCTCGAACACTTCATCCTCCAGAGCGCACTCTAAATGCACACACAAGAAAAACACACAGGCAAATGTTCAAAGTTGAACAAAGTTGTCGTCTTAAGGACACTGATAATACACTTGTTTTTTTTAGTGTGTCATTACTTCTCTCATAGGGATGGTAGGTGGGTGTCAGACAGTTGACAAACTCTGTTAAACTCAGTTTCCAGTCTGCATTTTCATCTGACAGCTCGATCAAAGCATCAACACACAGAGACCTAAAAATGAGAAGTACACCAAGTATTTAGTACACAGAGTCTTCTCAATATCCATTAGATTTATTAAGCATTTTTTCTGTTGCTTTGCGCATTATAAAATGTTACATTATTCATTGTGTGTGATGCTCAAAACATCAAATATGCGTATTGCCTTTGATAGAAAAAGAGACCCTTTGGTGGAAAGTTATTGAGAAAATTTCCTCAAGTACTGTTGTTACAGACCCTTTGGACATTTTTTATATACTGCTACTAAATACTCAAACTTCACTGAAATTCACAGGTAAAATATTGTACTTCACAACAGACTTTGTTTAACTGACAAATTCAGCTTCAAGCTTCTTGTAGGATTTACTTTTTTAATTTAAGAAATATCATCATATTTTCAGAATGGTTGAGTAGGGGATATCACAATCCATCCAGCAGTATCTAAAGTATTTAAGATTAGTCTAATTCTACCAGCTGTAACACTGAAACAACACACATATCATTCATCGGTCATCTTGAGCCGATAATTTAATACATTCTCTCTGACTCTGAAACATAACACATTTTAATTACAATTATTTGCATCAAAGTATTTAACAGTGTGAGTTATACTTGTACAATGAGAACTTCTCTCACCATTGAATTGTTATTGTTGTTATAAGGTCACAGATGAAGAACTTTATTTAACAGAATAATTCACAAAATTCACCTTTTTTGTACACAATTTTAAAAACATGAGCTTTGTTGAGCTAAATTATTGGATTAGGGTTTTGAATGCTATCTGGGCCTTACATACAGGTATGGTGTTTGTCAGAAGTGTACCTCAGCAGTATGTTAGACTCCACAGTGTTAGAGTAGGTGAGGTTGAGAGCCGTCTCATTGTGTTTCAGGAAGCTCAGGAACTCTTTGGAATCAAGCTCTGAATCCCCGTCATCATACATCTGTAACACAAACAAAGAACGTTAAGTACACCTTAAACATAAAAGCACGGTACAGTTGGCTCATTTGTTAAGGTTTGTTATGGCAATTTCCATAACTTGGAAGAAACAAAACTAAAAGGCAAGTATGATGATGATTGGAGAGGTGAAAAACTTTCTGACCTTGAAGTATGTTTGCAGTAGCTCATTGGCTACGGACACATTAGAGGCAGGGCTGTCTGATTGTAACTCTTCCTGAATCCACTGGATCACGCTCTCTCTGAGCCAATCACGATCAGACAGGAAACACACAACTGCACAAAACAAACAGATTATATCAAATGTTATTGCAAAAAAAGGACTAATAGGATACTTTAAGTCTAGAGTCCTTAAAGTCGGAAAATGAATGTAGGAGCCAATTTTGATGTCATTGTTCCTTTTTACTTTTTTTCTTATTTTTGGGCTTTTTGTGCCTTCAATGGAGAGATAGGACAGTGGATAGAGTCAGAAATCAGGGAGAAAGAGTAGGGAACGACTTGCGGGAAAGGAGCCACAGGCGGATTGAACCTGAGCGCCCGCTTGGAGGAGCAAAGCCTCCATACATGGGGCGCGCACGCTAACCACTGCGCCACCAGCGCCCCATGTGTCATTGTTTCTCATTTCTGTAACGGTTTACATGTTAATTTATGTTCTCAGTTTGGACTTAAGATGGTGATAATTGGTCATTAGGGTTAATTGGTCAGTGTGGTGGTTATAGGTCACAGGTAAATAGGCAGTTACTGACAAGAGGTTGGAACACACGGTTCTTACTGTACACGTACTCATACTTGTACTTTTAATCATACATAAATGTGTTTCCTTTGGATACACGTCAAGACCTTTTCATACCCAGCTGTATCTTCCATACAACTATGCTAGTGGCTAAAGTTTGATCTGAGCATTGGGATATTAGATAGTCACTACAATGAGAGAAGAAATACATAGTCATAAACCAAACATTACATTTTATATATATATTTTTTGTTTACAATCCGGTAATAAGCTGCAAACTTACTCGGGCTCACATCCGTCTTAGGTGGTTTCTCTGGGAAAAAAAAACAAACAACACAGACACAAGTCACATACTGTACACACTTAATCTTTCTGTGGCTTGCATAGTGTTGTTGGTCTTGCTTGTGTGCGTTTATGTATACTGACCCACACAGTGTCCTCTGTGCTCCACATGTATCTTAGTGTGCGTGACACATGCATCTCTGTGCAGCTCGCAGTGATTTCTGTAAGATCTGCGGTTACTTCCGCAAACCCAGTGCTCTGTGTCACCGCAGCTCTAGAGAGGAAGACATCGTCTTTAATGTTTTCAAGAAATGTTTAGTTTTAGTTTTAGTAGAGTATTTTAAATGTAGGATAACAATGCATACCATCCATTGTGTATAACTAATAATACAATTCATATAAGGTTAGAATGTCCCAAAGCAGGATACTACTGCAAGTATGCTATCCAGTTTCCATACTTGCAGAAGTATCCTGCTGCTTAATGCCTGGGGCGTAATGTGGTGTAATGTTTTACACCTGCTTATTTCATGCTCTATAAATCCCTTGTTTTACATGGTGAATGAAGATCATTGTGCCAATATTTAAATGTGAACGTCACAAGCCAAATAT